ACTGCTCCACCTGACAAGAAGAGCACCCCCCTGCCCCCAGCTGCTGCCCCTGGCACAGCCCCATCTGGATGGTCTGGGCCAGCTCTGCCTCCTCTCACTGGCTGGTGAGCCGTGGACCACCTTCCGCAAATGGAGCTGAGACAGCTGGGTCTGGGGTCCTGCTCTGGGTCCTGGACCCTGGGTCCTACTGAGCTTAGGTGAGCAGGAGTCTGTGGTCAGGGTGGGCTCTGGCGGCCCTGCCAGCAGGGTGCAGGCAGGGCTTCCTGTTGGAAATAAGTGGTTAAACCTGCTCCCCAGCCCTGGATTGGAAGCAGGGCCTAGGGGTGTGAGGTTCACACTCACTGAGCACCCATCCATGCCAGCAGCAGCACCTGTGCCCACCGAGCTCAGAAACGAGGTGGGTAGTACTGTCTTGGGATATTCAGACGTGGAAATTGGGGCTCAAGAAGGTTAAGGGGCTGAGTCTCCCCTCTCCCAAAGCCAGTTACATCTGAGGCAGGACAGGGACACCATGCGATCTAAAACAAGTAGCAAAGGGACACAGTGTGGGCAGGAAGCGACCTAGGTTCGGTCTCCCTGCTGCTGTTTGGAAACAAGCAACTCATAATGCTTTTTCTCCCCCAGAGTACCAACAAGGGAGGTAGAGGACAAGGGAGGGCCTTAGAGAGGGCGGGGCGAGAGAGGGGCGGGGCCTGAGAGAGGGGCGGGGCTTGAGAGGTGGGTGGGGCCTGAGAGAAGGGTAGGGGCTGAGAGAGGGGCGGGGCCTGATAGAGGGGCAGGAGTTGAAAGGGCTATGCTGCCCTCCTCTGGGCTGGAGCAGAGCGCAGCCTGAGCCACCTTTGGGCAGCTTGAGTGGAGGGCACTGGGGCTGCAGGGGACTAAGAAGGTTCCAGCTCCTTTATTCCCTACTGGGCTCTGAATGTCCTCCAGGTTTGTCACCACACAGACGCGTGTAGATGAGGCAGCTGCTTTTATTAGGATTGAAGGGAAAGTTGTCCCTGGCGGAGGGGGCTAGGGTTGGGGGGTGGCTCCGGGGTTACTCCTCCTGCACTGGGTTGTCACCCATCCTGGGAGGGCTCAGTGCCTCCTTCCAGGGGGAAGCCGACCGCTGATTCCACGGGCTCAGCTCCGGGGCATTCCTCAGGGCCACTCTCCTCCGTCCGAAGCGGCCCACAGGCCTGATTCTGCGTCCCGTGTACCAGGCAGGGTCGATGTCCGGGGCTGTAGAGAAAAGGCGAGTCAGTCGCAATCTGTGTTCCCTGGTATGCTCAGTGCCCTGCCGGGTGGTGTTGGGTGCAACTGCCTGCTCCCCATGGAGCTCTGAGCTCACAGGCCAGGCTGGGGCCCACCCACAAAGGAGGGGCACCTGGAGGATCAGGTGGCACCTTTTCTGGGTGGTGTGAGGTGGCTTTGGGAAACAGAATTTCAAACTCACACCAGGACCAAGGACTAGTCCCCTCCTCACCCTCACCATTCTGTGTCAGCAGGGGACCAAGCATACTGGAGCCCCGGCCACCCTGGTGGTGGGAAGCAAACCCTGGAACGTGTGCTGGACAGGGACCCTGGGAAGCGGGTGACGGGCCACTCTGGGTTGAGGACTGCTGAACACAGGCCAACCCCCCAGAGCTGGGCACTTAGTAAGGACGTGCCCCAGGTTAAGAGGTGGCTCTGGGGTGGAGGGGTGGGTGAGGGAGGCTGACATCTGGTTGGGTGGGCACTCACTGCGGGTCTCCATGGAGTGCTGGTGGGCTGGACATGTTGCTCCTCGCAGGGCCAGGCCCAGCAGCAGCAGGCACAGGAACCAGGCCTGCAGCACCTTCAGCCCCCTGGCTCCTCGTCGAGGCCCCGGTCGAGGTGGGATCCCACACGGGAGGGCTCGGCCTGGGGCAGAGGTGGCAGGAGCAACGTTAAACACGCGTGAGGGCGCCTGTGTAGAAAGCTGGGAGCCTTAGGGAATGTGAGTGCCGTGTGTGCGTGAGAGAGTGTGTGCGCACAGGTGTGTGAGGGGTATGTGCAGGCATGAGCTTGTGTGTGCATGTGGGAGGATGTGTGTTCCTGGGAGGATGTGTGTTCCTGGGAGTGTGTGTGTGAATTCTCTGCTCTGTGCTGGGTGGGCATGAACACAGAAGTAGCAGACCGCCTGGCAAAGCCCCGCGCCTCCTCAGGACCCCATTCTGTCCTCTGCACAATGAGTGTTCAATGAGGTGGTCATGTGTGTCAGCCTCTGTGGCTCCGTCATGGGGGCACTGACCCTGTGTCATCAGAAGGAACTGGGAGGTGTGTAAGCTGTGGGTGCAGAGAGGCAGGCTGTCTGGAACAGCTCGGTCTGTCAGTCTGTCTGTGTTAGGGAGCTGGGGGGTGTGGGAGGCCTCTGCATGGCTGTGTGCCGTGCATCAGGCCTGGGCAGGGAGGGTAGAGGTGAGCAGGTTTGTGGGGAGCTGCCTGGAGGAGCCCAGAGGAGCTGCAGGGGTGGAGGGAGCCCAGCTTGAGTCAATGCTGGGGGTTGGGGACTAGGCATGGACCAAGCTTAGGGGCTGGGACCCCAGGGCAGGGTTCTTTCCCTCATTCTGCCCAGGACCTCCTGCCACCTGTCCAGTCCTGCCCCAGGCCCATTGGAGGATGTGAGTAGACAGCTGGGCACTGTAGGAGGGTCCGCGTCCTATGTCTGTACCAAGAACACCCCGGTCCCCATGACCCCTGGGACATGCCACCAGCTGCAGGGCATCCCCCTACAGACAGGGGCACTGCGGGCAGCAGAGGGGCCAGAAAATGCATTTTGTCCTGCGGGTGGAGGCAGTGACCTGCCTGAACTGGTCCGTCCAGCAATTCCTCATGCTGGGTCCTCTGTCAGGTTCCCCACCCTGTCTGTCTCAGGGAGGACCCCTCTGCTCACTTTGACTTTCCAGCCTGTCCCTGAGCCACTTAGAAAGTGCTGTCCACCTGGGTGATTTAAAATGCCACCCTTTTCTTTTTTGGGTGTCACACAGGGGGTGGGGGACCCCGACCAGGAAATGGAGTTGCCTCCCTGAGAACAGAGTGTAAAGAGATGCTGCTTTCTCCTCCCCAGGGGTTGGGGTTCATGCTGGATGGAGGGCACCTCCGGAGAATGTTAGCAGCGCCTGGCTCCTGATCCCCAGGGGGATGCCCTGTCTGCATTCTCAGTGGGGTGCAGGGGTGGCCTCCCCCCTTTGCCTTTACCATGGACAGCACTTGAGTCCTAGGGGCCCTGGGCAGGCAGGAGTGGCCCTCCCTCGGACACATAAACCGTGGGGTGGCTGTCCTTGCCTGTCCCTGCCTCTCCCACCCAGTGCTAGCCAGCCTTGCCGCTGGAAGAGCCAGCGTGGCCTTCTTAGAGCCCGGACCCAGAGGGAGATTTGCAGAGTGACAGTCCCCTGGGCTACTCACCGCTGTTCCCCATGATGGTGTCCTGAGTGTGACTCAGCGGGAGCCAGCCTTCCCCTTTTATAGCCCCTGGAGGAAGCAGCCCAGCCCCCTGATGCCCCCCTCTCCCCTTGGTCCCCGCCCCCCTCACAAGGGGACATCAGAGTCTTTGTCTATTTTCTTTTCCTCTATTTTTTTTTAAACTCTCATCAGCGATGTGATTTGTCCCTTCCTGGGTTATATAATTTCATTTGGGCCAAGTGGTTTTAAAACACATTAGCCTTCCTTCTTCACGCCGGCCTTGGGGACGCGGCAAAGTCAAGTGCCAACAGTCTGGGTAGCGCGTGAGCCACTGCCTCCCACACAGAAAGGCGACCGTGCGGCCACTCCTTCACCTCCTCCAAATAATGGTGAACGGAGAAGTCGCCACGCCGGACACATGGTGAGAGGAGAAGTCGCCACGCCGGACACATGGTGAGAGGAGAAGTCGCCACGCCGGACACATGGTGAACGGAGAAGTCGCCACGCTGGACACGACGGTGTTACGTCTCCACGAGCCTCCTCAGTCTGTGGCTTTCCATGGCGACATTCTCATGCACAAACTACTCTCATCCATTTCATTGCTTAAGATCGGTTCCTCTCTAGGCTTTTACAAGTCTTCATCATTAATGTTTTCAATGGGCAAGTTTATTAATATCAGGAAACAAATATGTTGAATTTGATTGTAAAAGCAATTTATACACCTCTGGAAAGAAATGAACACATGTAGAAAAATAGAAAAAAACACAGAAAGAAAACACACAATAAAAGTCAAAGCAGCGGATCGTTTTCACAGGTGATGTGCTTCCTTCTGTTGGTTTCCCACATCTTTTCTGGGTCAGTTCATCATATTTATATGTTTTTGAGTCTCATTCTTCTCATTTAACAGTTATGTCCTCGAGTTGAAATAACTGACAATATTCTACCATTTAACTTGGACCTAGACACCTAACTCACTTGTATTCGGAATAATTAGATTATGTCAAAGGTCACTAAGTGCTGTTGAGTGTAGTGTCAGGGAGCCTGTCCTGGGGGAGGAGACCTGGGTGGCCCCCTCAGGCATGTAGGCTTGTGATAGGACATGTCATGTGACCATCACTTCTCAGAAATTCTTCAGGGCTGTACCTGCCCCTCCGGGAATTGGCTGCCCATCCTGGTGGCCAGCAGGCTCCCTGCGGATCTGGGGTCTGTGAGCACTGGTGAGGGGGCAAGTGACTGGTGCCTGGGCAGTGGAGGGTGGGTGCAGGGCTGTGATGGTGGCTGTGATGGTGAGGTCACTGGGGATGGATTCCCTCAGAACTGGGGGTGTCTCAGCGGTAGTGGTGGCCAAGTGCTCAGGGGTGTTTCTTATGAATTGTGGCGAAGGACCGCTGTCCGGAGATGTGCTCCTGTCTTGGAGGCGGGCCCTCTGGGTGGTCCCCACAGATGTGTGTGCAGTCAGGGCCACCTGGAGGCAGCTGCCTGGGCATCACCACGGGAGCATGTGTGTGCACATGTGTATGTGTGCACGTGTGCCAGTACAAGTGTGTGGGCACACATATGCCTGTGTGTACATACACGTGTGCCTGTATGTGTAGGGGGACAGTAACCCCTTTTAGCAAAGTAGCTTTGTCACAGAGTGGCATTGGTGCCCTACCACTTCGGGCCTTCACCAGTGGGTGTCTGTAGGCAGTGGGAGATGAAAAATTAAAGGTATCAGTTGAGGAAATAAACCCTAAATAAAATATTTTTTCTTCTATCACCATTTATTCTCTTTACCCTCTTCTACCTCCCCCACCCCTTTTAAATAAAATATTAAAGAAATAAATTCAGCAATGTACTAAAAACCTAATTATCTTGACCAAGTAAGGTTTATCCCAGGAAAGCAAGAGATTGTTAGTGTTGGAAAAAGTCATGAGGTGACTGAGGGGAGTTGAGAAGTCTGGAGTTGTCTGGGAGACACAGAGGACAGAGTGTGGTCTGATGAGGGGCAGGGAGGGGCAGGGTTGGGGTCTGGGGCCTGGGGTTTCTGGCTCCAGGGCTGGGTGGCTCGGATGGGAGCTCTGTGGATGGGAGAATGGATGAGTTCCGTGGTGGCAGGTGTTGGAGGAGCTGGAGGGATGACCATGCGACTGCTCTGTGCATTAGTAGCCCCTTAGGGAGACCTTGGTCATGGACCAAACACAGTATGAACAGAGCACAGGTGGCCGTGAGCAGGTTCTGGGGCAGAGCACCCCCTGTCCTGTTGTAGGAACACACAGGGACACGGAGGGCAGCCAGAACTGCCTCTTCTTTGACTCCTAGGAGCTCACTTTGACTTTAGTTTACTTTATGAATAAGGGCGGGTGTCCATAAAAAACTGGCCTCCCTTTCACTTACAAGAACCTTTTAATCATTTGTAGCATTGACTTGGGAGCAACACCCTATAACCAGCCTCCGTTCTGAGAAGGGGCCACCAATCCCAGCATAGCCTGAGGCTGGCTCATTCCGTCCCCTGGAGGCTGCCTTTGCACCGGGAGCTGTCCTGGACGCAACCCTGTGGTGACCTGACAATGGCTCAGGGTGGAATCTGTGCAGCTGTGGGTGGGCCTTGCCCAGTCAGGTCAGAAGTCTCATCATCAAAGGCCCTTGGGCATCACTTCTCCATCTTCCTCTTTTGGGTACCATGTGAACTGGACAAGACACCCATTGAGAGTGCCAGGTTGAAGCTCACCCAGCATCACTGCAAGAGTATAGAAATCACAGCAGCAGCTCCAGGGCACTGCCTCGCACCACGGGCTCCATGTCCTGCTCTGCAAGACAGGCTTAAATTTGATCTGAAGTTTAAATAAACCAGGGAGCCTACAAAGCCACAGCTTGGGATGGGACGATATGATCAGTTTCTGTGCTCAAAGGCAGCTCTGGAGGCTCACAGTGGGCTCCTCTTACACCTGAAAGAGCCACACAGACACCCAGACATAGCCCTGAATCTTAGCCTGTCTGAGATGGTGAACTTAGGGCTCATCTATGGAGCTTATGGCAAGAGGCCGGTGGGCACCACTCATTGGTCCTGGCCCTCTGGGCCCCAGGCTGCTGCCCCGTGTACATTGCCATCACCCCCTCTCCCCATAGGTCCTCTAGGTCTGTGTCTGGGCACTGATCATATGCCACTCCTACCATGTGTATGCTCTGCCCTTGAACAGAAGGTAATGTCTCCCAGTCTGTGATCCACAGATGAACTTGCAGAATAGGTATATATGGGGGGCGGGTGTCAGGGGTTCTATTCCTCTCTCATTATTCGGCTGATCATGGGTTCAGTTCCTTCCTTGTAGTGATGCCCAATTTCCTTCTCCAATTACACCCACACAGAACACACACACACCGGCCTGGCCCACACTCTGATGCACGTTGTCATTCCTTTCTGTTCCATTCATGACATCATCATAAGAAAGGCAGCAGTGAACGGGGTGAAAGTTCTTGCTGAATAGGTTTTCTGTGGGTCCTTCAAAAAATTTAAACAACATTGTCCTGAAGGAAAGATGTAGCTTAGATGTCTCTCACGGATCAGAACAGGCTGGCCCGGTGGCCTGGGAAGTTGTCAATGAATAGGGGTGAGCAGCTGCAGGTCTGAGGACCATAGTCGTTTCACAGGTGGGGTTCCATCACGGACGGCGTGTCTTCCTGTTTCTCCACTGGATGGTGTAGAATGGAGAGTGCAGGGCCGATGGGGGGACATCATGGCTGGGGGGGAGGGAAAGCAAGGCGGGCTGCTCTGTTGCTCTGTCCTGTTCCCAAGAACCTCTCCCGCTTAGGGCTGGTGGGTCATTACAGGTTTCTGCAATGCACAAACACACATGCACAATAAGCATGCACAGATGGGTATGCACACACATGCACAATAAGCATGCACAGATGGGTATGCACACACATACACACACAAGCATGTACACACATGCACACACATGTACAATAAGCATGCACACACATGCACACATAAGATTTTTGTTTACATCTTTTGCCAAGTTTACGTGTTACTTTACCCCAATTTTCTTCACTCCGAGGACTTAATACCAATAAGTAACCTGCCAGGCCACAGAATTTCGAAGACACCTCAGAGAACCGGATGAATCCTTACCGAAAAGCTGTGGTGGGCAGAGCCCCGCCTGCCGTTGGGGTTTCTCTGTGTCAGGGAGCCGCGGTACACAGATTTCCGATCAAAGGACTCGTCATCTTTGCCTTTGGGGAAAACACGGGGGCGGGCTTATTAATCACACACTCACCCCAAACAAGTGTCGTTGCCTCCCAAGAAATGAACCAAGTAGCAGAAAATGGACATTTCCCCCTCGGAGAAGTTTTCTCAGTACTCAATAGTTTCAGCAAAGCACCCACATCTTAGCAACTGTGCAAAGGAACGCTCTCTTTGGAGCAGGCATGAAAACCCTACTCCCTGGGCCCAGAAATGTTCACCGGGGGCAAAACAATAGAAAGGTCCTTGCACTGGTGTGCGGTCCCTACTGGGGATGTGCCCGCAACTCAGGTACATGCCCTTGATGGGAATCGAACCTGGGACCTTTCAGTCCACAGACCGATGCTCTATCCACTGAGCCAAACCGGTTTCGGCCACTCCTTTTCTTTACTTTTGTGATGTGACAGCCGGCCTGAGGGGGTGGACCTCATCCTCAGGAGAGGGTCTCTCTTCAGGGCCTTGGTTGTGAAATCCATCACAACAGAGGGTCCAGCAGGTGCAGGGCGTGAGCTGCTGCGTCCCACAGATGATGTGGAAATTCAGAGCCCTGCTTCGACGCCCCAGAGCCCATCCCTGCCGGCGGGGAGGAGGGACGCAGGCGACTCTTACCTTGACTTTCAGGGGAATTGCTGAACTTCCCCCTCAGAAGGTAGGGCCCCGCCATCACCTGGAAGGAAGGAGACACATCTGGGCTTCACTCGACTGGAACTTAGAAACACTGGGGGCCAACTTGGGACCTGTCATTCTTCCAGATTCTAAGTAACCGGGTGGACTGCTTCTGCTCTTTGGCAGTATTTGAACCGTTAACCACATTAAAATGCATGCCGTCAATCATTTAGCACCCAGTGGCAGAATATGAAAGGGAGCTGCGGACATCGGGAGGCGTGGGCTGTGAGGGCTCCTCCCGCACCCACCCTTGGCTCAGTGTGTCTGAGGCCACCAGCCTGTGAGGCTTGCCAGTTCTCCACCACCCCCTGGACCTGCCATGCTCTGGAGAAGGGGGTCCACTTTTCCCTCTTAGTCTGGCCTTTAGGGGTGGGAGGGAAGCACGCACCTCAGCCCCATCGGAAGGGCCTGCAGGTGGGTCCTCGGGACTCTGGCCCAATTTCCCAGCAAGTCGGGGCAGAAATACCTGGAGGACAAGGAAGAAGCCTGTACATGATCGCTGCCCTGTGTCCCCTCCAGCCACGGGCCAGCTGGACACAGAGCGGCGTTTCCTTCAGCAGTCGCTCAGGAATGCGGGGGAGGCACGCTGGCCCTGCCAGACAGGCCACTCAGTGCTCTGGGACTGGGGCACGGCCAGGTTTAGCAAATTAAAACACAGAACGCCCAGTCTGCTCTGAATTCCAGAGAAACAGCAAGTCATTCCTTAGTGCATGTCCCAGTACACACGGGCTACACTCACACGGGAAGATGATTCGTCGTTTATGTGACATCGAGCTTTAACCAGCGTCCTGTGTTTTACCTGGCAGTCCCATCTGGGACTCTCCCAGGAACGTCTTTCATTCTCGGCCAGGTGTCCTCACCATGTGCTTTTACCTGAACATCCCCGACCTGACCCAGGAGAGATGCCGTGGGAGCCCCTGCTGCCCTCCCCACCCCCTGTTCTAGGCACACCATGTCAGTGGCAGTGTGTTAAGGTGCCAACACGGGTGGCATCCTTCAGGTGCTGCTTCTGCACTCTGAACCGTGCCCCTGGTGTCTTTCAAATCCTCATGGGAGCTGAGGGTCCCTCTTAAAGCACTTTCTCCAGTTAGAAAACAAGTAATAAATGAAAAAGAGCTCCCACAGGGCACAGCTCACGATGGCTGCTAGGACACTGAGGCAGCAGTTCAAGGAGGGGGGGATGGCTGGCCCGGGGCTCTCGGTTTCACGCCCTGGGGTGGCCGTGTGGGGCTGGCCAGGAGTCCGGGCACCCAGGCCCCAGGCACTGCAGCGTCCACTCACCGGGAGCTTAGACCTCCTCCGGGGCTTCCCTGAGGGCTTCACCGTGAGCCCTGCAGCCCGCAAGGCTGCGATCCTGGCCTCGATTTCTGACACCTAGAGGATCAGTGAAAACAGACATCACTCAGGAGTCCCACCTCCGGTCACAGTCCTGGAAGAGCAGCTGCCCTCATTCACCAATTTTACTGTTTTCTCCTTAAGATTTTACTGTGTTTCCCACCCAGATGTACTTTCTGGGGTCCCATTCCATGCAGGTGCCATGAGTGTCGGGGAGGGGCTGGTCACCCCCAGCTGGGAGCAGAGTCTGAGGGACAGGCCCTCTCTTCTCTGTGGGTCCCTGGGGGGAGGGCTGAGCAGGGCCCAGTCACTGTGACTGTCCCTGGGAGGCCTGCTCTGTCCTCTGACCTTTGTTACCACCGACACCTCCGCCCTTACACCGAAGCTCTGACCCACGCTCCTCGGGCCAGAATGTGGTCCTGAGCCCTGGGCTGTCCGAAAATCTCAACTGCTTCTAGAGAAGCCCCTCCATGGGGTGGGGCAGGGGGAGTGCCCGCATCTTCCTCCAGTGGCTACAAACCCCGCCCGCCCCTCTCTACAGCAAAGGGGAAGGGACGGGGTGAGGCAAGAGGGGGTGGGGTGTGATTCCCACAGGGACCCCCAAGCTCCTGTTCTGAAGCTGAAGGGGCTCTTCTGCATGAGCCGTTGGGGAGGCCCTCCCCTGCTGTCACACTGTCAGGGCCCCACCGCTGTCTGTCTAGGGGAGCCATTCAGAGGCCAGCACGGCCACCCTGTCCTCCAGCTGCGACAGCGCCTCGTCCGGGGTCCTGGCGGTCTGCATGGGGCCCTGGGGGCCAGGGGGGCTCTTTTCCCATCTGTGTGTTTGGCCTGCAGACGTGCACACCTAGGGCAGGAGAGACTGCAGGCTTCACCAACAAGGACCTCATCCTACCATCCTCTTTTCTCTTCACTCCTGGAGCTGGGCGGGCAGACGGCCAGCCAGGGGCTGGGCACTCTGTGGCCCTTGTCGGGCCCCCTCACTGACCTCCAGGGGTCAGCTATCTGCCCTGGGCTGGGCTGCTGGGTTGGCTACAGACTGTTGACCCCTGGCCCTGGCCCTACCTCTGCCCGTGTCCTGTGGAGACTGAGGGGGGGCGGCCTTACCTCTGGGGTCATCCGGGGGAGGTCCTCCAAGGAAGTGCTCCTGTCCGGCTCCGCCCCTTTGTCCTTGCCCTCCTCCTCGGACGAGGCCCCCTGGTCACTGACATTGCTGGTCAGCTCCTCCAGCTTTCTCTTCAGGGTCTCCTCCTCCACGTCCGCCTCCGTGGGCTTGCTGGCACCGGGACCCTGAAATGAGCAGCGAGCGGGTCTGGTTCAGGGGGCATCTGTGCGCATTGTACTTAGAGGCCGGGCTCCGGGAGGGTCGCACCCCCGAGCACACCTGAGCTCCCGCTGAGCCGTGTCTCTGTCCACTCTCCACGTGAGCTTGCCCAAGTCCCTGTGCTGGGCCCAGTCCTGGCCGCTCCTGGTGATCCTGATGCCACCAGGCCATCGAAGACCCACCATTTATCTATTACACATTTATTTTTAATTGTAGTTTACATGCCATATTATATTAGTTCCCCGTGGACAGCAGAGTGATTTTCCATGAACACACCTGACAAAGCCATCCCCACAACGGGGCTAGCGCATCTGTCAGCGTGTGTGGTGTGGAGGCTGCTACTGGCTCTGCTCCCTGTCCTGTACATGACACCCCGAGACTTATGTTACAGCTGGGAGTTGTACCTCTTACTCTCCCCCTTTTCTGCTCAGCCCCTCACTCCCCTCCCCTTTGGCAACCATCTCTTTGTTTTCTGTATGAGTTTGTTTCTGTTTTATTTTGTTCATTGTTTTCTTTTTTTAGATTCCACATATAAGTGAAATCATGTGGTATTTGTCTTTCTCTGTATGACTTATTATTATTGTGTTGTTAATCCTCTCTCAAGACTATTTTTTTCCATTGTTTTTTGAGAGAGTGGAAAGGTGGGAGAGATGGGGAGAGAGAGAGAGAGAGAGAGAGAGAGAGAGAGAGAGAGAGAGAGAAATACCTACATGAGAGAGAGATACATGGGCTGATTGATTCTTCACATGCCCCGAGCAGGACCAGGGATCAAACCTGCACCCCTTGACCAGGAATTGAAGCTGAGACTCCTTGGTGTGTGGGCTGCCACTCTAGACCAGGAGTCCTCAAACTACGGCCCACGGGTCACATGCAAATACAAATATTGTATTTGTTCCCGTTTGTTTTTTTTACTTCAAAATAAGATATGTGCAGTGTGCATAGGAATTTGTTCATAGTTTTTTTTAAACTACAGTCCGGCCCTCCAACAGTCTGAGGGACAGTGAACTGGCCCCCTGTTTAAAAAGTTTGAGGACCCCTGCTCTAGACATTGAGCACATAGACCAGGTGTCAGTACAACTTATTTTTTAAAAAATATTTTTACTGATTATCAGAGAGAGAGAGGAAGGGAGTGGAAGAGAGAGAGAAACACCAATGTGAAAAATGACATGTATCAGCTGCCTCCCGCACACCCCCTACTGGGGATCAAGCCCGAAAGCCAGGCATGTGCCCTGACTGGGAATTGAACCTGCGACCTTTCTGTGCACTGGACTAAGCCTAACCAACTGAACCACACTGGCCAACACTTTCTGTACAACTTATTTCACTCAGCATAATACCCTCTTCATCCGTCCATGTTGTCATAAATTGCAAGATTTCATTCTTTTTTTTTTTTCAGCTGAGTCAATTCCCATTGTATATATGTATCACCTGTTCTTTATTCACTCATCCATTGCTGGGCACCTGGGTTGCTTCCATATCTTGCCTATTCTAAATAACGCTGCAGTGAACGAGGGGTGCATAGATCTTTACTAATTATTTTCTTAGTTTGTGCTTCCGGGCCCCTTTGTTAACAACAAAACCACCTTTAACAAAGGGGCTTCCGGACCCTATCTCCAGGTGGGCCAGTAGACATTCCACCACTGACATGCGCTTACTCATTCCAAAACCCTGCAGCCGAGGAACAGAAACAGTGGCCAGGACACAGCCCACTCCCACCAGCAAGACCCAGCACCAGCCCCTGGGAAGCACCAAACTCCCAAACCATGGATGGAACCCTGAGGCCGTCACCCAGGCCCTGACCCAGGAAGGGTGACCAAGACACCCATCTTCCCACACCAAGGGCTCTGGGACACCCAGCAAAAGCTGGGAGTGCACCCTGTGGAGATGAACAAGGCAGGAGGGGTGACAGGTTCACCCAGACTAGGGAGCTGGACCTGAAAGGCCGACGGGGATCGTTTCTGGGGGCAGCTCCTGTCCTGAGCAGCACAGGGAGGCGTGAACTAACGAGGCCAGGCCGATCAAACGAAAACTCATTATCTGGCAGGAGCTACGGGTCACTGGTGGGCCAGGAGACAACTTCAAGTGACTAAACATACAACTTCCTCATCCCTTGAATCACCAGGCTCTTGAGTCACCAGAAGCTATTAGTCCCCAGACGGGGACATGAGAAAATCAATGCTTGTTCTGTTTTCTCCAGGCCCAGCGGACGCAGCCTTCCTGCCATTATCTCTCTCGAGGCTCACCTGGGTTTAGCAGAGGGCAATGGCCCTTCCGGTGGAAAGGTCCTCTGCATTGTTCAGGCATTAATTAGTTTGGTCGTCACAGCCCCGTCACAGCCCCGAGAGCCCTGAGCCGGCAGAGCCTCCGAGGAAGAGCGAAGCTGAGAAATGTCACCTTGAGGGTTTCGCTCTGGAGTGGCCTGGAGGGGCCCTGGTAACTGAGCCCACCTCTGGTTGCACTCAGAGTCTAAGAGACAGCAGTCAATACCTCGGAGCAGAGAGCCCAGCAGACAGCCTGTGCCCCTGAGGCGTCAGGACGCTTGGCTGCCACTTCAGGCCTGGAGAGGAGGGCCCGGACCCACCAGTGCCAGGAGTGTCATTGTGAGATGTCACTTAAGAAAGATAAACTTCCCACGATGACAACTGGGACCATTCTCACCTGGGGTTGGGGAGGTGAGCAGGAAGTGGGGGTAGCACAAAGGAAAGGCAGCAGGCCGGCAAAGGAGCCGGGGGTTGGGGTGGCGCTTTGAGCAAGGCCAGGTTGGCACCCAGGCCTCTCAGGGGAGGGGAGGCCTCCGGGACAACATGCCCACCACAGATAGAACAGCCCTGGGTTCCTATCTGGTACTGAGAGCCACTGGGCCATCAGACATGCCCATGCAACACCTGCTTCTCAGGTACCAGGAGCCACCTCCCTGCAGCTGCTGAGCCTTCCCCCCTCGGCCCCCCAAATGGCCACGGCTTTGGAGGTGGCGTCTTCCCCTGTGTGAGCCCCAACTGTCAGGGTCATCATATTACCAGACTCGTATGGACGTCAAGTATGAACGGGTGCCTTCAGCTTGTGGGCAACAAAACCAACATTTATAACTTGCAAGCACAACACAGGCACAGGCCATGCTTAAAAGGAACAGCCATAATTTGGGACTGGCGAGGCTCCTGTGGGGAAACCGAGCCCGTGTCTGCAGCCTGAGCCCGTGTCTGCAGGCTTCGATGTCCCGGGGCCGGCTCTCTGGAGTGGGGGGCTCACTCCCAATGTGGTGAGGGTTAAGTGCCGGGGCTCCGTTTCCTGCTCCCGCCACCTCAGCCCCGTGGAAGTGTCCTGCGTGCGGCATGCTGTGCCATCTTTGGCCTCCTCTTGGGAGTCTTTCCTGAAAGTTCCTCACCCAGAAAGTCCTAACCATGGGTACAAAGCAGAGACAGGTGACCGATCACAGGAGGATTTGCCCCAATAAAACATTGCTCTGGAGAACTCCGGCCACGTCTGTGAGTCTTGGGGACTGCTCTATCCTGGAGGGAGGTCTCTGTTCTGGGGGAGTCTCTATCCTGGGGAGAAGGTCTCTTTCCTGGGGAAGGTCTCT